AAGAGAAAATGAATGAAAAATAAAGACGAAACAACCTTCACTGTTAATAAACTAGAGAGGAAGAAACGGCTTTTGCTATAGTAGTAAGGCTCATACGAAGTGGATGATCACCTCACCCGTTTCGCCACATTGCCACGCTGTCATTCTTGTCTCCGAGTCTGCTTGTTTGCCCGTATCAGTCAAAAGCCAGGCAGTTTGGTGAGAATTCAGCCCTGTAGCAGGAGTGTCCTACCGCCTATCGCAGGCGACGGTAGTTAAAAGGCAAAGGCAGCCTTGGGCAGGGATAAAAACGGTTTTTTTGTTGCCTGCCAGCCTTCAAGCATACCTAGAAGAATTTCGGGCAAGGCAATAAAATTTAGGACAACAAGATTATGGTTTTTCTTTGCTTCTCCGAAAAGCATGTTTCCTGAGGTTTATGAGGGAAGATGGCGAATCAGAAGCTGGCGCAAGGCTCCATAGAGGAGCTTCAACCAAGAAACGCGAGCGGCGTGGATGTTGCTTCGCGGTATTTATTTTGATTTTTCCTTTCAGGAGCATTTTTCCCCTGGCGCCATAAAACTTGAAAGAGACAATAAAGAGCTGAAGCTTGTTCAGCGGGAACTTCCGCTGAGCTACGCGTGGATCATCACCATTCTTTGCATTTGTGGGATTGAATAGTGCAGCTGGCGTTGCTCTCGTTGCTCTTGGAGTGGTTGATGGTTGATATTCCATTCCAAAGGGACTTGAGTATTCGTGAGCATTATCAGGAGTTCGTTAAAGACAGGGGTTATTTTGTCCATTGGTGATGGGGATCATGGACGGTGACCTGGCAGAGGCTGAACGGCTTGATCACCCATTCACCCACTTTCGCTCTCTCTGAGCTCACTCAGCAAACCGTTGTAGTTGTTGTTCCAGTCATTCTGCTCCCGTTGTCGTCGACGCGGTCGTGGTGTCGAATATAATAATAAGTGGCGGTCGATCCCCTCTGTGCTAGTCCTGACTAACCCGCCCACTGCCCGATTTGTTGTTCTCCTCCACTTTGGCTTGCGACTCCAACTCACAACTCAACCCTAGTTTCCTCTCCACCACCACCACCACCACCACCACCACCCTCCTCCTCCTCTCCTCCTCTCCCTCTCCTCCTCTCCTCTCCTCTTTTCCACCCCTCTCTTCCTCTTCCTCCCTCCTCTAGCGCGCTCGTCTCTCTCCTTCCACCCCCAAAGACCAGGCCGCCCGGTCGGCTTCTCCAGGTCTTACGGCCGTTCCTTGTAAACCCACGACCCCTTTCCCTCCCTCGGTCCTACAGTCGATCATGCTGTTTTGGTCGACTCCATAACCAATCGCACCCTAGACCAACTCATACGCTCCCCAATCTCTGGTTACTGGAGTTATCCTGTCACGTCCGTGTCGTCGTTAAACCGTCTCGTCGTCACTCCCCTCCCGGCCCGTCAGCCATCACGTCAGTCATTGCCGCGCAGCTTATCCACCAATTTGTGCCGTCTGTTCGCGCGCTGAGACCACCGGCATCTGCTGCCATCGCTTGCTCACCTACCAGTTACACCAAGTAGGACGCCTTGTCAGTGTTCCTGGTGGCGCGTGCTCTGTCTAATCCATCGTAGCGGAGGTGGGAATAACAAATTGCCCTCAGGTTGTCTTGCTGCTCCCTAAACCTGCGGAAGGCACGTTTGGCCGCAGTTCACCAACACTCCAGCAAACAACCTCTCATTGTCTCAATTGCCTCTGCCCCCGCTGCTGATGCATCTGTTACTGGTCTAACAGAACTGTGCAAACGACGCGTTGCTGGTCGATTACTCTTCTTGTCTTTCCTTTTGTGCCTAGTTTTTGTTTTTTGTTTTTGTGGTTGTTGTTTCCCTCGAAGCTGGGTGTGTTGTCCCTCCCTGCTTTCAACAGACCTGCTGCGCATCACTCTTCGAACCCGGATTTTCCCAATTGCAGCGTACAATCGGTCTTCGCGTTCACGAAACCTCAACAACAATATACAACGACAGACAATACAACGCTCAACCGAGTTCACAGCTACCGTTTGTGAACCGCTTGACTACAATCACTCTCGCGGGACACATTGAGAAATCCACTACTACGGCTTAAAATCCTTGACTAGATGATTTGGACGACTGGCTATTATATTTTTTAGAAGTGGGTAAACAGATATTCGGTTTTCAGGTGTCTGTGCGGACAAATGTTCAGAGCCTGAAGTACTAGAGCACATCCAGTTCCTTCGAAAATTTAAAGCAATTTGGCGTGAAGGGGAAATTGACTTCTGGAACACGAATATTTGAGTTATCATCACTTCACCCTCTTGCTGCTTTATTCTCTAAGGGGAAAGGCATGTCGTCTGCTATGCAGACAGTTTGCCAGCATAGCACAACTCAGTCGCCTAGCCAGTATGCATCAACAGGATCTCCGAGACAACCACTTCGCGAACCATCAGTTGGGCCACGCCAGTCGAGCAGGCACCAGACTGATCATGCTGCCGCACTCAACCCTCCTGCTAGCCCTGACCAGTTCTACTCCCCTCCCTCCGCCGTTACTTCGACAATGAATTCCCCACAACATCTTCCATTGCCTCCCTCCACTCGTGGCTCCCCTATTACCCCAACTCCAGGCCAAGCGTCGAGTAGTACGCGACCACGCCCGACCCCCACACTATCTGATGGACCTGGTTCTCCTCCGATCCCCCCTCCTCGCACCTCATCAAACCAACGAAGTCGCACATCATCAACTGCGCCATCCGCCAATACCTCCACGGAACGAGTAGCGAACTCCAAACATTCTAGACGAAGGGGAGATGGTGCACGAGATCGTGGGGACCGGGACCATGCGCAGACAAACGGTAGGGACAAGGCGAATGATGATGCGGAATCATCCGCTGTCAAGCGTCGAAAATGCCCACATCCGCCGGATGTCCCACAACGAGCTACGAGCACACGAGAGCCGAGGGATCACACCTCGCCTTCTGCGATGGAAAGTAGATCTGAGGCTACAATGGGACCAACTTCGATTCCCACTGGCGCTGATAAAGAGCCAAGTACGGTGGTTAATCGGATGATCATCACAGACCCTGCAGTAGATATTTCGCGAGAAAAGGAACGCCAGGCGGAAGCTCAACCTGACCCAGAAACCTTGTCAGGACTGGGCCTTGTTAGCAGTGAAGGGGTCGACGACGGGGGCCGCGGTGCTCGAAGCCGGCACGATTATTCAAATTCCTCATCAAGGCGAAAAGAAACTACTTTTGGTGACTATATTCTTGGTCAAACCATTGGTGAGGGTGAGTTTGGAAAAGTTAAACTTGGTTGGAAGAAAGACGGCAGCGTGCAAGTCGCGATCAAATTGCTGAGAAGGGAGAGCCTTGGGAACAACCCCAGCCGCCTCCCGAAAATATATCGCGAAATTTCGATTTTAAAAGAGCTTTCACATCCAAATATAGTCCGACTTCACGAGATGGCAGAGACTGATCGACATATTGGTATTGTTTTGGAGTATGCATCTGGGGGTGAATTGTTCGACTATATCCTTAACCACCGGTATCTGAAAGACAACCCTGCTCGTCGATTATTTGCCCAACTGGTTTCCGGCGTAGGTTATTTGCATAAGAAAGGTATTGTTCACCGAGATCTCAAACTCGAAAATCTAATGCTCGATCGAAACCGCAATATCATTATCACAGATTTTGGTTTCGCGAACACATTCGACCCCACAGACGAACTGGGCGAAGAAATTGAATATAACCTGACGAATAGAGAATTCGTGAAAAGGATGAAGCTAGATCGGCCCAACGCAAAGGGCTTAAGGCGCGGTGACCTTATGCAAACTAGCTGTGGTAGTCCGTGCTATGCCGCGCCAGAACTGGTCGTCACTGATTCATTATACACCGGGCGTAAGGTTGACGTTTGGAGTTGTGGAGTTATTTTGGTGTGTCTAATGATCCCTTTTATTTGTGCAAATTTCGGTTTTGTTTACTAACATGCGTTTGTCCAGTATGCAATGCTTGCTGGCTATCTCCCTTTTGATGATGATCCCGCAAACCCTGAGGGCGATAACATAAATCTTCTTTACAAATATATTGTAACGACACCTCTCACTTTTCCCGAGTACGTCACACCACACGCGCGAGATTTGCTGCGGCGCATCCTTGTCCCGGATCCGCGAAAACGGGCAGATCTCTTCGAAGTTGCGCGACATAGCTGGCTTGCGGAGTATGCACATGTGGTATCGCACATTACCAGCAATACTACTAATGTGGCTGACATTGCAAACACCACTGTTCCTGCCGGTGAGTCCTGTTTATTTTAGATCACATAAAAGAAAACAGATTCCCAGAACTTTGACTCTCAACTTTTCCTTTATTCCTTGAAAATCGTACGATTGCTAAACCATTCTACAGAAGACCAACAAGAGACCCCATCCCTTGCTCGTAGCGCTTCTGTTAGAGAACCACCCAAAACTCAGCATCACAGCAACGCTTCACCGGTGGGAGGCCTCAATCACCATACAGGGAAAATCTCTCAAGAAGATGAAAAACCTAAAGCAAGGGATGCGAAAAGGAGAACAGTCCAAGTCGAATACGTGCCCCCTCAGTCTCAAACTGCTCGTGGTGACTCAACTACCGCCTCTTCTCCTCTGAGCCCAATATCAGGTCCTGCAGGTTCGTCGCACGTTCAACCAAAATTTAATAACCAAGAACCTCCAACTTCAAGCACAGCAGGCGCGGCCGCAGCCACAACAACGGCCGCTTCACGGTCTAAACCATTGCCGAAGGACCCGCCTGTAAACACCCATTCTACCAGTCATAACACAACAGATCGCCTTCAAGGTAGGCCGCATTCGCAATATGGAAACTTAGCGCAATCGATCTCAGACCTAACTGGTACGTACTCTGGTATTCAAGGTACTTTACCCCAAACAACCCGACCTCGAACTGGCGGGTCCCTGGCTTCTACCGGCGCCGGGAGATATGACAGCCGTTTGCCGTCCAGAGGTTCTTACAGTCAACCCGCCGCCCCAGCGGTCGCAACAACCAATGTGCAGGGTCGGCTCGCTCAGCCCAAAAATGCCACAGCCTACAGTATCTCTCCGCCTATCACCCAGCAACCTGCAGAGAGTTCAATTGATCAGCCCAGTACAAATCTGGACTATAGCGTTGCCCAGCAACAAGAAGCACAAACCAAGAGCCATAAGCGTTCTAGCACCGTGAGTAGCATTGGTGAGAAGTTGTTTGGGCGATCTGGCTCTATATTCGGTGGAAGATCATCTCAGCATGGGCAACGACCAAATAAACGCTACCCCCCAACTAGCATGAAGGAGCCGATTGTCTCGGATGAACCGCGAGCGTCAATGGATTCCCGTCGGTCAATTTCTCACCCTTTTCATCGGAAACTAGTGGATTCCAACCAAGAGCATACTACGAAACAACGAAGATTTTCTCTCTTGCCTGCATCGTTTTCTATGAAAAACTTCTCATCCAGCAAAGAAACGCCCCCCGCTGCTGACTCTCACATGGCCCAGGTTAACGATTTTCTCCACCTTCCAATGAGTCAAGGTCATCAGCAGCAGCCCCAACAGGTATCAACTGCCAATGCTACCTCACATTCTCACCACCCGACCGCCGGTCACCACACCCAAGTCGAACAAGGCCTTACCAACGCCAATGACCAATTGGATATGATGAATTACTCTGCTCAAATCGACCAACAGTTTGCGACCCTTCACGCTGAATCGGACCCCAAACTCCAGAGAAATCCATATGGGTCACCTCACATTGCTGCTGAGCAATATTACCAAGAGGAACCCCATGCTAACTCTTCTTCAACGAGATACCTCACTGAGCCACAGAATTCCGGTTACGCGGAGCAGTTTATGCCCAGTTACCCGGAGGAATATAATCCGGGCCATAACAATGACAATGGTTCTCGGCAGTCAATACAGCCTAACCACCAGTCTGGGAGGGTCTCCAATGTTCTCCAGAAGAACAATCGCAAGTTCGCCGATGCCTACGAATATGAGAAAGATCCGTCACATCATTCTGGTAGCTCTGGGGCTGCAAGAAGAGTTATGGACTTTTTCAGGCGACGGGGCAAGTACCGTGCTGGCGATCATCAGTGAAAAAGAACACCTGTTTGGCTAAATGCTACAGTCGCCAGCTATCACCTTGGGGAAACTACATGCCATAACAAAATTTCAGCAGCAGGAGAAAAGACAGAAGACCAATAAAAGAGAGAACGCTTTGTGGTTGGCGGATTGGTGCTTTCATTCTATTGGGGGTTGTAAGAGCCACCAAGGTTGATGGTGGGAAGCAAGCGGAAGAGAATACGACGGAGGCTTTATCTTCCTCGTTCCCGCAACAAAAAACAAGTTTCCCCATCCCCGATTCATCGTCTCCTTCACATACACACAGACGTCTAAATTCTATTCGTGGGGACGACCAGAAGGGCGAGACAAGAGTCCCTGAAACGAACCTATTCTGAGCCGAGGATCCCAAATTACCTCACCGGCGCTTGTATCATCATCACATTTACCTTATTTTCTACCACTTGATATCCTCTTCGAAACTTGTTTTTCTCTAATATGAATTTATTCCCCCTTAGGCGTGTTTTTCCACTCTGATTGTTTTCTTTTTATCTTATTTTTCCTCCTTCCATTGGAAAACCGATTGTCTCCGTCGTTGATCTCCCTCTTGTTTCAGACTTTAAAGCTTGAGCCTGAACTATTTTGGTGAATGAAAACAAATTCCCCTCAAAGTTCTCTATTTCATTTGTTCTTTTCTTTTCCTATGTTTAGTCCTTTGTTTCAACTTTTTTCCTTTGTTCAAAATCCTCTTCTGTTATGTTTATTTTGTTTGCTGTTGTCTGTTGCCCTCTTTCCCTTCCTGAGGCCTTTTTTTTCCATGCTCTTATATGTTTTTCCCTCTCTTCTCTTATCATCTTACCCGGATTCCTGTCTCTTTTCTTTTCTTTTCGTCTTGAAACCTTGTGTCAATAAATATCCAAATGTGTTTTTCTTAATTAGGCTCTAGTACTTTCTCTTTTCTCTTTTTTCTCTTTTTCTCCTCCCTATTTTCGTTAAGATTCATTATTTATTTCCTTTGTCAATGCTATTACAAGTGTCTTTGTTTTTTCTTTCCTTGATTTTCTCATTCATCTGGATAAACTAAACAAAGCTCATTTTCTGCATTATTTTTCTTTTTCTTTTCTTTCCACCTCTCTTTTCTCTTCTTAAACTACTCCTCGTGGGTTTTCTTTTTCCCTTTCTACAACTTAAGCAGATTACTTTAAACACGGTCAACAAATGAACTGCCGTATTTCTTCTTTTTCTTTTCTCTCATTAATTGATTGATTGATTTGCTCATCAATCGCTAAATCCCTCTACTCTTCCGGATTGTGTGACCTATTCCCGTTTTGTCCCCCCTCCCTTTGTATCTCATACGTGTGCTTTAAATCTCATTCTACTTCCTTTCGTCTCAAGTATGTTTTCTCCACATATCAAATATCAAACAAAAGCTATGAACATTCTTTTTATTTTCCCTTTTTTTTTCCATACTATTTTTATTTATATTAGTATTTATTTAACTCCCGGTCATTCGAATTCAACTAAGGTTTTATATCTTTTCGTTTAACTTTACTTATTTACTTTGTAGTTGATTTGTATTAGGCTTGACTGGGAGAGATAATCATCTCCTTTTTGTCATATGTTTGATAATAAAGGTCGCAGGGTCGTGGCTTGCATTAGAGCCCTCGCATTTTACAGAATAACGATTGTCTTCATATGATGGGTTTTATGCTTACTTTTCCGTTCTCAGTTTTGGACGGCTACATTACGCTTTGGTGGGCGATATTCCCAGTTCGATTTTTTTCCTACATAAACCAGCGGCAATGCGCTGGTATGATCGATTATTGCCGTAGGCTCCTCAGCATGCCACGGCTTCAGTGAACTTCTCGCCCTTTTTCTTCTACCCACTGTATAAATTTCTTCAATGGAATTACTTTTCCAAAGGACAACTTTCACTAACCCAATGGAACCCTAAGATGTTCCCATGTGCCGGAAATCAGAGCATCGCACAGGGGCATTATCAATTTTAACTTACCGCCATCAAGACTCTTCGAATCAGAAGCTCGCTACTCGGCACGTCGTCAAAGATAACTACCAATAATGAGCAAACGCATCTAACAACGAGGAACTTCCTCAGCTCTGGGACGCCGCCAGGTTACCCATTGGGATGCCAAGATGAAATACAACTTCTGCAATGCACATCCCCCCTCTCCCCTTCTGGTCTTCCACTTTCTTTCTTCCCACAAAATCTTGAACAGGCATGCCGATGCGGGTACAAATGTGACGTAAAGCTACTACCAGGGTACCATACGCGATGTACGGACCCGCGATGCACTGCCTATGGTGAACATTTCGAGTGTACTCTTCACAAGAACAAAGAATGAGCGCTGCCGTTCCTTAGAAGCTGAATACATACATAGCGGAACGGTGGGGGGGGTGAGGGTAGGACAAGACACAACGTGTGTTACATACACCTGGCTGCGGGGAATTCTTGAGGTTTGCTGTTCGACAGCTAGTTCATCTTTCTTTCTTTCTTTTTTTCCCATTCTCACCTTGTGATGCATCTTGCAGGCAAGACTACTGCTGTGTGACGGTCTTCAGTCCATTCTAGACACCCTATTTTCATATAACCCGGTCATTTTATTGATTGACGTGGGGTGTGGTCTGCTCTATCTCAGCTTATCGGATCACAACCGAAGCCTAGGCCATTATTCTGCAGTCAGAATTGGCTCACAGCTCACACAACCTGAGCCCTGAGAATCCCGTTTCCAGCTTCCTGTCCCTGAAAATAATATTTATCACTTACCAAATCATACATGGTGCTCGAACCGTGGATGCGAGCTGCAGCTCTCAGTAACACTCAAGCCAGGAACAACGCGGAGCCGGCCAAATATGTTGTGGACTCGCGTGAGAATTAACCTCCTCAACCATCTCATCTGATGATGCGGACCTTGAAAGCTTTTTTTTTTTTTTTTTTTTTTTTTTGGAAACAAAACAATAGAAAACCTTAAGTCATTGGGGGTTCAAGGGCGAGGGAAGCGGAACCATGGGAAATAATCCCAGCCTTGCGATTTGTGGGGGAGTTAAGTTAAGACTTTCCGTTTCTTGCACGAGTAAACACAGAAACTTTCGCCTCCACGGAGTCCCACACTGGTGGGCCCACGCCCGAAGGCCAATTACTTTAATTCCTTGTTTGTTGAACCAGATAGCGTCCAACCAAGGATCTTGACGGCTTGTATTTACTTTTTAATTTTCCTCTCTTTTTTATAATTGGTTATTTGGAAGAAATTGAGACCGGCTTTTCTCACTCGGATAACGTATTTTGTCCGGGAAGTAAAAGAGAAAAGGAAAAAAAAAAAAAAAAAAAAAAAAACAAAAGCTGGAACAATTTCACGAGTAGTTATCTGTTGAAAACATTAGAATTTTGCACGAACTAATAATGAATTAAGAGTGATCTAAGATTATTTTGCCTAGAGTAGAGGCGAAAACAATACAGGGAAGAAATCGCATGAGAAGGCAGTGGCCCTTGTCTTGTTATAGTTATCTTGACCTCTCGTGATTTGTCGAGTTCTAATTTTGCTGAGCTGTCCGGAAATATCAAATTTCAAGGCAGGTTCTACTGTCAACGAAAAATTTCGGCAGGCTTCACCCCTCCATCTCAGGAATGAGAAGAGACATCGAGGAAAAGAAAACGAAAGGAAGGAAGTAATGAGGGGAAGGAAAACCGAAAGGAAGTTGACCGGCCATTGTGAATCATCATCCATCTTAAACGGCACGATTTGCATGTCAAATATCCATTTCCGTCTGTACATAAGCCATATGGGTGCAAACACAGTCCCGGAGAGAATACCTCAGCTGAATGACAGGGAGGGAGGTGAAGCCAAGGGCAGGCATTTAAACCCCTAGCCTTAGAAATCCGCTTTTAATGTCGGTCGACGCAGTCGAGCTGGCACTGTTGGAGCGGACGGATTTTTGCGGCAGGTGCGAGGCCAAGATTCCATTTTCATCTGATGGGATCTGAGGAGAGGAGAGCGGGGTCGGTGTTGTGGAATTCATTCCTTGGGGTCGGGCAGTGGGCGTTTGCTCATGCGGTACGAGGACAAGAAATTTCTGAGTTTCGGTGTTGGAATACATGATGAGCGGAGATGTATGCTTATACGAGAAGGGAAGGATTAAAGCAAGCTGTGATTTTCTTGGGGCTTTTTGGTGGGTATTTAAACAAGTGAGACAGCTGGTATCGAGATTTCTGTGGTATGGATAGTATGAGAGAAGACGATCAAAAGCCTGTTGGAAGACACTGTAAAGTTCAACAAAGAGCGTAGTCTTGAGGGGGGAAGTTGGATTTTCACGGGGACAAGTTGGTAGAACACGTTGGATTTGAAAATCGAGTTCAAGGGAGTTTTTCTCCTCGAGGGAGAGGGTTCTTTATATAGTTAGGGACCCTGGATTCAATTGAAAGTTTCCATGTCCGGCGGGCTGTCAGATGATAAGGACCCTCAAAGCGGGGCCCTCGTTTTCTCGAAAAGCATAACGGGGAGTATCGGGATGGGCTTCCCGTATGGTTTCTGCAAGCTCGCAATTCCTGTTCTATCATCTCAGTGGATAAAATGTGTAAAAATGGCGAATTTAACCCGCGTACAGCCGAACCAGGTGATGTCCTGCGCCCTGGTGGAAGATGTTTGGTTAACCTCGGATGCTCAATCCTGGATTTATGCCAAGAATTTCCCCTGGCTGAGACATTGACAACGAAAGCTGTGATGAAGAAAGAAGGGCATGAGAACAGGATGCAACGTGCCCTTCAGACACGATAAGCCTTTAGGTGATACAAGGGATACCAGATTCTAATTAAAACCGAAGGATTGAGGCGAATCGACAATATCGTCCTCGATAGATCACCATGAGTTAGTTCAGACGCATATAGTATACGAGTAGTTGTTCATAACATAATTACCAGTACCTGCTAACTACCCACCCATACCTGCCTCCCGCTCCAGGATATCATTGATATCCTTTTGGTACAGCTTCAAGAAGAAATTTGAACGCCGACGGATTTTGTGTTTGTGCTAGTACTGGAGTACTCATTGATTATCGAGTCCGGAACCCCAAGTACAGACAACAAAAGCGATTGGTATCAGTTTGACGAATGATCACTATTGAGGTAGGAAACGATTATCTGGCAACTATGGGTGCCGCTGTACGGAAAGTCACTGCTCGAAAGCGAAGATGAGGGTTGTGCAAGGACAATTGTCGATTGATCTGAAGAACCAACCTTGGAACTGCCATACCGGAAGAACGTAGGGTTAATTTACGGTGATTCCACGGTGATTACACCGTTCCACGCCGGTCACGTGTCGCAGCTTGCAACACACATTCCACCTTATCTCAGCATGCTCAGCCTCTTTTCTCGATATTTTCAGATTAATGCGATCAACTAAACTTCTTTAGACTTCTGCCAAGTCCTGCTAACTTCTGGACCAATCAATTACTCCACATGTGCTCACAATATAATATCTCATAAAAAGTCTAAGAAGAAACAGTTTCATCATCTGTGGAAAATCAAACCTGTTTATACAAAATATTCATTTGATTTCAGAATCATACATTTATCTTAAATATTTATCTGATCATTATCAAATTGATATTTTTTTAAATCTTTAGTCATTTTATTATCATCTTTATTATTTTATAACTTATTACCTCTTCTCATCATGCTACAATCATTGATCAAAGATATCATGTCTTTTAAATCTTAAAACATTCAACATCAGATGTGATTCAATCAATGTTCTTCATCATTTGAAAATAAATTCTCTCAACAATCACAACACTTTTTCAATGATTTAGATAATGAATATGAAACATCAGATAATGATTTAACAAATTTTGAATTTATTAATATTTTTTTCAGAATTTGAAATCATTAATATTGATACTTTGTCAATTTATTCACAATCAAACATCTGTGGCTCACAGCATCTGTCTACTATGTCTCATAATCAGCAGAAAAAATATTTAAAATTATCTCATATTATCAAAAAATTATAGTAAAATGATTGAAGAATGAAAGCTTTTATAAATGCTTGAATTTAGAGTTCTGATATCTTGATTTATAAACAATACTGTACTTCTGCAAAGCAGCGGAATGCACTATATTCAGCACTCTCAAAGTCAGAAGCATTTCATGATCATCATCATTATATTGCCTTGTTTAAATAAAAGTTGAAACATCTTATCAATACTTCTATAACAGATTAACATTCATTAATAATTAATTTATACAACTAATTTTTTCTGCCTCACACTCCACACTCACATAGTTTTAACGATTCTTCCGCGCGTTTGTATAGTTCCTCACACTCCGCGCTCGTGTAGTTCTAATGATTTTTTTATGTAATTTTCAATGTTTTTTCACTCCATACTTCACTGTGAGATGGCTTCTGATATTCTTCTATTCTGATCTTCTCTCTATAAAAACCCTCTTCATATGATCTTTTCTTCTGATCTTTTTTCTCTTTCTTTTCTTAATCAATTTGTAATTTGTATTTAGAATAGTGTTAGATTGTTAATTGATGTACATTCATTACATTTATGAATTGATTCATCTGTGTCGGTCTGAGTACTCTATATTTATGATTGCATTCAGATGCTCAAGTTAAGAATAAGTTATCAAGTTTTCATAAAACTGTGTTGTTGTGATAACATTCACAAATTCTAAAGTTCTACAAAGCTGCACCACTGTGATAGTGCTGTGAAGAAATCTGAGCATTTAATAACTCCATAATTTTATATCTGTGAAGAGGTCAGAGTGTTTATAAAGTATTTTCTTTAAAGAATAAGAACTGAACCTTCTGATTTTCAAGTTATCAGAATCAAGAATCATGACCTCATATGAAAACAAGATGAACTACAAACACCTCTTCATGCGTGAAAATCAAAGCTTCATTGAAAATAATGCTGAATTCCATAACTTCCTTCAGCAGCAATTCTTGTAGATGATGAAGTTTCAATAACAACTGAACAATTTGAATATAAATACATCAAGAATCACACAGATATCAACACCTCTTATATATGAAAGAAGAGAATATCTTCCTTTTCTTGACAAATTTACAGAAGAACTCTCAATCTATTTAATTTGAAAATAAAAAATAAAAATCAAGTTTGAAGAAGATGAGTCTGTGATAGACTCTCTACTCTCACAAACTTATTACATTCATAATCAGTTAGAAGAAGATGTTCTAACCAAATTTCAATTTTGAATTGAATCATACACACATGAAATGTGCATCTCTAAAAAAGTCTTCCATCAACTAGATGCTCTGTTCTTGGACTCTACACTTCAAACACATGCAATGCAATGGTTGAATAGAAATTGTCAGAGAAACACATTACTGACAAATTATTTATCTGACTTCAACAGGAAGATATATGAAGCAGAAGAACAGAACTGAGATGATGCTATCAAAATCAATCTTTTAAATCAATATATTAATTTTGAACTACTCAAACTCTGCATCTCACATCTCATACCCATACATTACCACGACTATTGCACCCACTTATGCTAACTCAACAACAACCTCACATGCTTCAATGCTATTCAAGGAAGATATAACAATCATAGACAAAACTTCATGTTTACAACTGCATCAATAATCTTCACAGACATCATGAATTGAATCTTTCATATGAGCACAGAACAAATCTAATCTTCTTAGATAAAAAGTTACTGATTAAATCATCAGAAAAATCTGCATATACTGTGACAAGTCAGAGCACTTTATAAATCAATACTCAAATACAATCACTCTGAATAAGCCTCCCACGCATATGAACACTGCGTCGCCCACAGATAAACAGAAATAAGGAAAAGAAGATCTCTTGTTTTAAAATATGAATGAGAGCTCAAGAAGCAAGAAGCTAGCTAAAGATTTGAGCAGAAAATACAAACAAATACAATTATGATTTCTATCATTGTAAATAACTGGATTAAACGTTCAAACGGTGAGCAAAAGGCCGGATGTCGACTAGCTCGACGGCTGCTTTACGCCGGCCGTTGTCCAATACTGCCACGCTCCACGCACGGCGGACGCCCCTCCTGCGCGCTGCAAGCTCAATTCCCACGCCCCAGCGTTCAGGTACGGAAAATGGATCCCCTCACCCGCTCTGGGAAATGGGCGCTTGCATCCTCCTCCTTCCAACCACGTTGAGACCGCCGGCCAGATATGGCCCTCTCGGGGCTGACTATAAAATCATGGCTCCCTTCTCTCCAGCGGATGATCTGGTCCCCCTCACAATTCCAGCGTCCCTTTTCGTCGAATCTTCTCAGCCCATCAACCCCTCGCCGTTCCCCAAGCTATCAAGTCGCGCTTGCCCAGTCTTATAACCCTCCCACCCCAACCAACGAGCTCTCTGTTCGTTCAACGATCCATCGCTGAGCCCTCCATCCGTATCCCTTCCAGTTTCCTCCTCTGGTCCTGTGCGGGACGAAGAATGGCTCGTGGACACCGCGTACCATCACCCGTCGACAGCGACAGCGAGGAAGACCCGATGGACGATGGTGATGGTGATGATGATGATAGCGATGGCACGGCCTCCGATTCCAGCGGAGAGACCGACCTGACGGACCCGGCTGATTACGGGGAAGACGGCAAGGATGACGCCAGCGATCTGGCTGGTCTGCTGGCGGGCGACGAGCACCTTCCAGAGTACTATATGGATATGATGACCGACCCAGACGGATCCTTACTCCAATACGATGAATACGCGCCCAACTCTCGGAAGCTGCTCGACCGCATCGAGCAGGAATGGTTCAAGTGAGTGTCTGGATCCCCCCCTCCCCCTCTCCTGGCCGCATTTTCTTTCTAGTTTCTCAAACGCTATGCAGATTCTGCGCCTGCGTCAAGCGGGACCCCAAGGAGATGTATCAGCGGATGGACGTAAAGATGCTATACACTTTCTTCCGCTGGGTGCTGAACCAACGTCGCGGCAAGGGTGGGAGACGACGCCAGGGGCTCAAATACCAGAGCTCCCTGGAGACGTACTGGAAGATCTTCCGTCTGGTCTACGAGAGGGAGATGCAGGAGAAGATCGACCGGGAGATATCGCTGAGGGTGATCAAAAATGTATGCAACTGCCCCTTCCCGTATCACCCTCGGCACCTGGACAGATCCCGTCCGGTGGCTGAATCGTTTCACGGTACTGACCCGGGGCCTGCTTGTGTTCAAGGTGATCCCAAAACTGGCGCGGCTGTACCATCTCAAGAAGGGGCGGCGGAAGAAGTCGGTCGTCTATCTGGACGACCTCGTCAAGGTCGTCGAGACGACCGTCACCACCACCAAGAAGAAGTTCGGTCACGGCCGGCAGCGGATCCTGCTCTGCCTGTTCTTCCAGCTGGCCGGGTTCTCGGCCAATCGACCGCAGGCGTTGCTGAATCTGTGCTACCGGCACATCAAGATCACCCTCCTGAAGGACCCCGATGGCGGGCCCAATAACATCCTGATCGAGTTTACCATTGAATTCGCCAAAACATTCCTTGGAGAGAAGGAGGAGTACGTGACGCGTCCGCTCCGACCCGTTCTGACGTACCGTGACTGACCGCGTGCCTGTGAATCTAGGACCACATTTATAGTCCCGGAGACCATCTTCGACCCGTCTCTGGTCCTCAGCCCCCACGTCACCCTCCTTGGGCTCCTGTTCGCCGATCGCGCATTCGCCCCTCTCGACGGCGAGAGGGTTCTCACTTCGGCACGACAACTCGTCGACCTGAAGATACCGAAAGATACCTACCAGCTCGAACTCCACTTGGACCCGGCCCTGAACGATGTCCCGGTGTTCCGGAAGTCTGAGCGGACACTGGAAGCGATCGAGATATCGGCCATTGACGCGCTGACGTACGGCACCATCAAACCCTGGATCAGGCGGATCGGGGAGATATCTGCATTCCGCGACATCGTTCGGCCGTACAGCCTGCGATATGGTGCCGGCAAGGCGCTAGATAACAGCGGTAAGTCCCGATCGGGGAGGAGACCTTGGCTTCCGATCACCGGTCACTCATCAGCTTCTATTGTGCAGGGCACGTCAGCGAAGCGGTTCGCAGTCTCATCTTCCAGCACTCAGATCCCCGTACGTTCCTCAAATACTATCTCCACAGGAAGGTGGACAAGGACGTTCGCGCCATCGTCCAGGGTCTGGACCCGCAGGAACATATCATGCGCGCGGCGTGCCGGATGCTCCGCTCCGTCAATCCGCGCCGGCCGCAGGAACTGACCACGGCCCAGTCGAGGTCGGTCAACCAGCAGCCCCACATCCAGGAACTCATCCGGAAACGCGATCTGCTCAGCAGACGCCTTGGGCGACCCTTCAAGAAGCACAAGGGGACCGTCAAGTACGAGCTCCACAGGAAGATCAGCTGTGAGCTGGCAGGCGCACGCCAGCGGGCGAGAGACAAACTCCTACGTGATGTACAGGAAAAATTTGACTTCGAGGAGCCCCTGCGCGAGATCAAGCGACAGCTGTCCGGGATCGAGATCTCAAAGACATTCGGTGAGTCTCGGAGCACCAATGAGAAAGTCCCGCCCCCGCAGCAACGACTGATCTCGGCGCTTCTCTCGCTGCCCTGCGAGACGCTGTGGGACGAGATGCTTCGACGCACCGAGGGGATCGACGCGGTTGCGGCATACTGCCTCTTCGAGGAGGGGGATACTTGCCGACTCCCGCATGACAAGAGACATACCGCCCTGGCGCTTCAGAGGGTCAGGGTGGAGGTGCACGTCCCTCCGCCTCCCAGCCAGAGGGAGATCGCAGCGGGGGCCGTGATGAAGGACCATCGGCCACTCTACTGCTTCATCTGTCTGGATAGATTCTCTACCCACGGCGGGGTGACCAAGCACCTCGGACGAAAACACCTCCAGCGCATCAAGCCTGGAGACACGATCAGATGCCCGCGCTGTGAAGTGGTCCTCGAGAGCAAGATGGAGCTTCAGAGCCACGCCTACCATGTCCACAGCACGGTTAGCCCAGACGACCCGTAGCCATTCAGGCTCTCTCTCTCTCGCATCTACAAATACATTACCGCTTAGAACAAATCCATCACCCCAATTTCCCCTGTATGTTTACAATCTCTGCTTCCACTGTGCCAGGAGCATATACACATAGAAATACCAATCAAATGAACCGTATCCCGTCATTATTTCTAGCTCTTAATTATTTTTAATACTTTTGCTACAAAGTACCTATAGTCTAAATCACACGCGGAGGCCCAAAGTTTCATCTGGCAAGTTGAGAGGACCGCAACATAACCTCTGTGACAGAGCTGTTCTGCAGCCAATAAATAAACACAGATTAGTAGAGTAAAACCTAGCAGGAATTAAGAAATGTGAAAGAGCAGATATGTCAGAATGATATGGCCTGCTCTCCGTCGTCTGGCAGACACATGACCCAATTATCCCACGTGACCCGGCGCTACCCATATATATAGCGTTACCAGGTAGCAGCTACCAAAACCAACTTTCCGTCACATCAGAATACTCTGGAATGGTAGACTACTTTAATCAGCAAGCCACCCCTACTAACTTGATCTCATCACCTCTACTCATATTCTTCTTCCACTGAGTCGGAAGCGAGACGGCCCTTGTTGAATGTGCTGATATTCCCAAAATACCCCTCGCTCGATAAAATGGTCGAGAAAGCCGTCCGTCCCAAGCGCCAGAGATCTGAGTCTCCGGCAAGTGCCACAAGGGCCTCGGGCATTGTAGAGATATTTTGGCAAGAACTCAGGGCAGCCAGCATATGTTTTCTGGGCGAGCAGTCAAGCCATCATAGCATTGCCGTTGAGGCCGTGGACGGCGATAATGCTTGTCTTGCTTCTGTCGAAAGTTACTTTGAGCGATCGGTCAATTCTTTTCTTTTGCATCCTCAGGCCACGACTCTGCGATCCAATATCATGGCCCCCACCATTTTGACTCATCCAGATTAGATTACAGGCATCACATGATCCATCGGCTCAGCCCCGAGGGGTTATTGCAAATCATCATCTCTCCCCGCCATCTCCATCGCCATCACATCTCCATCTCCTCGCAAGCTCCAATATAATTAGCGTAGACGAGTGATTATTAGTAAACAGAAGCTGAGCTGGCAAGCAGGCCAAGCCGTATAGGAGTCCCAAACTATAAAAGACATATATGAAATTTCCCTCCCAAGAATAGAATCTGACATGACCGGGCCATAATGCCATTCTAAAGAATAAGGGAATCTGGTATGAATAGATTAAAGAATAGGGGATTTTTTTTCCCTGGGGATGACATTGGGCATGACCAGGCCATGGCTGCTCTGAAGAATAGGGGATATATTGGGCATGATCAGGCCATGGTTACTCTGAAGAATAGGGGACTTTTTTCTCCCTGGGGATGACATTAGGCATGACCCGGCCATGGCTGCTCTGAAGAATAGGGGATTTTTTTCTCCCTGGGGATGACATTGGGCATGACCAGGCCATGGCTGTTCTGAAGAATAGGGGATATATTGAGCATGACCAGGCCATGGCTGCTCTGAAGAATAGGGGATGACATTGGGCATGACCAGGCCATGGGCCCCGAGCTGGAAGCGACAGATCGATTACTTCTTCCTCTTCTGAAGCCCAAATCTCTTTGCAGGAGGCTATTGGCAGGATATTGGGTGATTAGTAATAATGAGTAAGATTGGCATAATTGCAATAGCGGTCAGTATCAATCTCAAGCAATAATGATACCGCCAGGCAACAGTAGGAGTAGTCAGCAACCTGTTGTCGTTTGCTCACCATACCAGGGATTAACTAGTTAGGCAATGGGGCCATCAGGAAGATTAGTCAGCATTCTATTCTTCCCCGCCCATGCGGCTCATCGAATATAGGATGTAAGTACTTCAGCTGAGAGATTTTTAACGTAATGTGGTAGACTTCATGGAGTACGATGTTAAAAACCGTATCTGTTCTTCCGAGGGTCAAGTCTAGCCTAATTGATATCAGTCGGAAACAAGAAGAACGTATAGGTCAACCGCCCAGTGAATAGAAAGCCTGAGTGGCCCTACGCGCCCAGAATAGAGATTAATCCAGTTGACTGAGGGACGGCTAGTACAAACCTGAGGGCCGAAGTCCAATAAGGCCAGAGGCACAGCGGCAGAAGAAGGTTGACAAAAGGCCAGGGACTACATCATGTGGTCACTAGCACAATGACCAAGGGAAGGGGTACTATGGCCAGTGCTTAAGGACATGTGTAGTAGGTCCAGTGACCTAAGTTGACATGCTGGAGGCAGGAGCCAGTAGGCCTGACGGGTCCATGGATCGCGGTCCACGGACCTGGTAGGCCCAGAGGCGACCAACTTGTGGCCATGCTGGCCTGTGGACGGCAGAGGCCATTGAACCGATTTCTGTGGCCCTGTGGCGACCAAGGACCCACGGCCCAAATGAATATGTTTTCCTCTCGACAATTCTATAAATTTTTGAATGATGACCCTGCCCTTCAGTTCTAACTTTCACCACCCTCTATTCTTACTGACAGAGTAATCATCTCATTTCAATGCTGTACTCAGAATACTTCTGTGCTTTTACTCCTCAGTATAAAAAACACAGAGATATTGAGTGGGGAACAATAACAGAAAGCGCTGCAGTGCGCTACCAGCTGATATCTCAAGAGTTGCTGAGAACCATCAGTTCAAGGAAGCCCAGTCATTTGAAATTTTATTGAAAGAAATCACGTGTGGCACCATTCGCGGCTTCTTTGAAGCTAGAGAGCTGTGTAGGAGAGTCAAAAGGATTGCGGGCGAAATGGATGGCGAGCAAGCGAGCGGAATGGCAATGGATTGCAAGCGAAATGGATTGCAGGTGAAATTGGATGGCGTGCTAGATTATGAAATTTTCTGGGTTGGTTCCAGTAACGAGACGTAGGGAGATCTACAGATCTACATCACGTGAAACTGAATTGGTGGGACGCAGAAGCACAAGTGCAGAAGTACACTTTTGACGGAAGGGACAACGGTATTTGGGCAAGATTCGTGGCCTATTCATAAAATCAGGTCGGGGCTCCATTGTAAAATGATTTGCCCTATCCACATTCCGTTATTCTCAATTCGACTCCGACTGCGGACGAGCAGAAGACGTACACTTTTGGATGGAAGGGGCCACGGTATTCGGGCAATATTCGTGGCCTATTAGTTTGCAGATGGGACCCATCCACAACTTGCAGCGTTACGCGTTACCACTAAGAATGCGGCCACCATCCAGAAATCATGGCAGAACCACCAGCTGATGGACCTACTAGATTTCTAGATTTTTGGAAATGAAAGGCCTATTTTGAGAACGGAGGCCATGTTTTAGAGTATATCAACCCTTTCGAACCCTGCTAAGACTTAGTTGATTTTGAGAAGCTCGACTCGAGGTTGCTCTATTGATGACGAGTATAAAGAATGGGTGGAGATGTCATTTGGATTTCTTTTAGTGTTGCATATTTGGCACCGATAATCCAGTACGCTCCACTCAGCGTTCGGGTGTTGGCGAGCTCTTCCAGCCACGAATTCGGATCGCGTGGCCGAGATGAAGCGAGCCAAAATGGGGAGGGCCACGGTTTCGGATTGCAAATCGTGGCCTGCGCGTGCAAGCGCCCGAAGCAAAACGACTGATCGCTCCAAATGACGTTCGACAGAAGTACACTGTTAAAATGCGCCTTTTGGCTCAATGAACCACGCACTCGCCTGTAGCTATAAATTGAGAGCTCTTCCCATAGTGTCAAGTGATAACCAGCAAGTCCCAGATCCTTTATCTTCATCGGAATCAAACGCCACAAGATGCAACCACCAAGCTCGAAACGTGTCAAGAAGCCATGGACTGAGCGCAGTAGCCTTGTGCAGATGCGTTATCGACGGAAAGGCACGCTGCAGCGTATGCTGCGTAGCTATTTCAATGACTGTCGCTGCAAAGGTGTCTACCTTGTCATCCATGAAGACAACCGGTACTTTACAATTAATTTTAACGAACATGGCAATTCAAGTAGCCATTTTCCACCACCAGATAAAGATATAGTGAGTGCCATGCGTACAGCCCTGGAAAGACGTAGCTCTTACAGAAACAGGAGAAGCATTATCCACCTCCATCTCGAACAACGTGCGAGAACTACATGAAATATCAGAAGTCTAGAGCAGGAAAGAAGGGAAAGCAAGAGAAACTTGAGAAGAAGCAAGAATAGAAGAAAGATGCTGTTGTAAATTAGGGTTAATTTGAAATCATCACTAAGCTCTTTTTGGAAAGTATTGGCTGCTTTCACAAGTATGTGTCATGATGCAGCCGCCGAATCTACAATCTATCCACTTCTCAATTCAAACCACTACATTTTCAAACTCATAGCGCTTGCTGAACCCTGAAATCAAGTCTTCTTTCAAGAACCAATAAGATTTCAAGTATTCTGGTCTTTCACCTCAAGGATTGTCATGTGGCTTTTCACTTAAAAAAGATGATATCCCCCATGGGCATTTTTTTCTGTGGCTTTTTCACTCAGCATTGTGCCATCCTCTTATGGATGTTGGCTCCTTACGGACTTTTAATTCCGTGGCCTTCTCTACTGAGGTTATGGCGCCCGTCAGGGGAATTTATTATGGTCGCTATTAACCCAAATTGTGGCATTCCCGAAGGGCCCTACTTTCCCAGAGATGCTGACACCACATGGAATTCTATCTTTGTTGCCTTTTCACTAAAACTTCTGGCACTCCCCAAAGAGCTCACTGCCCCAGGGTTCCTGACACCGCATGGGTTTCTATCTTTTGTTGTCTTTTTATGAAAATTCTGGCATTCCCCAAGGAGCTCACTGCCCCAAAAGACTCACTTCCCCAAGGATCTCGCTTTTCTAGGGATGCTGACACCGCATGGGATTTTATCTTTGTTGCCTGTTCACACAACATTCTGGCGCTCCCGAAGGGGCTTACTTCCCCAGGGATGCCGACACCGCATGGGGTTCCATCCCTGTGCACGATTGTGACTCTCCTTGAGGGTTCGCCTTCATCAGCATTC